TTTCCATTTCACCTCCAATTCTTTTCACCTTATCCCTGTTTCTCCTTTCCCAATTTTTTCCATTTTATTTTCTTGTTCTCTGCTCTTCTCCATCCCCCCCCCTTTATCCTTCTTCTTTCATCTTCTTTCCTCTGTTGCTTTTTTGCTCCTTTCCACTGCTAATCCTTTCTTCTCTTCTGAGTTGGTCTTTTTCTCCTTTTTTCTATTCTTATCTCTTCCCTTTCTCCTTCTTTTCTATACCCCTTTATATTATTTTCCTTTATCTATTTTCTCCGTTTCTTTCTGCCTATTCTTTTTATTTCCTTCCTCTTCCTTTTATTTCATCCTTTCTTCTCCTTCATCCCCTCTTACTGCTGATTTCTATAAATATATTCTTCATTATTTGTTGGATACTGAAGCAATTCGGAACTTGTTGAGTATTTTGTGCTTCACCTTTTCATCCTCTTATATAAGCTGCCTCAATCCTTTCTCGTATCATTTTCTCATTTTCTTTTCCTATTATGTTTGTCTCCTTTCCTCTTTTTCTTTCTCTGTCCAGATCCTCTCCTCTCGTTTTTACTTCTCCTCCTGTTCTTCTTCTCATCGTTTCGTCTATGTTTTATCCAAGTATAATGACAGACATCCAGTTAAGGTTAATCAAATCCTCACCTGGTATACAGGGTGTCCGCTAAAAGGAGGTCAATCCATTAACCATATATTCCTTGAACAAAAACAATATGAGTTTCTCAATACCATTTCTCATTGTAGCCCTCCATATTCGATATACAGGGTGACAAAGTTGGAAATTAAAAACTGTTTATTTTTAATAACTCGCGTATTTAATAAGATATCAATCTCAAAATTGGTACATTACTCCAGCACAAAGAGTTACATCGTGTGAGGAAAACAAAACAGAAAATAACTGTCAAATATTCAAAATACTGGGGGTCAAGTACACACTTACCCCCAAATTTTCACGTGCGCTTTGAGAATTTTTTGTCTTTTGTGAAATTTCGATAAAATTATTTGTTTTTGAGATAATTCGAAAAGTACTGGTTATTGTTTGATGCCTATGCGGCTTACGGTAATCTCATAATGTTCACATAGTCCTATTTATTTCGTCGAAATTGGAAGAGGGCATAACTTTTTACGTACGAAAAGGTAAATATGGAAATACCGGGTGCTCAGAGCGGATGTACTGAAATAATTCCTACACAAAAAATTTATAGAAATTCAACACGTCTTAGAAGATGGTTGCTCGATATGACCTTCAATTTTTTGCATACACATGCGAGCCCTTTTTATCAATTTGATTGAAGAATTTCGGAGAAATAATGATTTTAGGAAGATGGGGGGTCGATTGACGAGCCCACCCTTATCACGGATCACGGAATCAAGGGGTTCTGTTTGATCAAAAACGTTTTCCAATTACTTTTAGAATATGATATCAGCTTCAATGAAAAATTGGGTTTTTTGATACGCAACTAACTGCAAGGGATTTAGGACCTTTGACTCCTTGAAAACCATTTATATCACACTGATCAGGAGAAAATTAGAGTACTGCAGTGTCGTTTGGAATCCGTCTCATATGAAACATATATCTAGCCTAGAAAATGTTCAAAAAAATTCTTGAAATATGCATATTTCAAAAAACATGGTGTGTATCCTGAGAGAGGTTATAGCTATGATTCATTGTCGGACAAGTTTCATATATCTCTAAAGAAATTCAGGGAAAGCCGAGATATATGTTTTGCATATGAAATCATACATAAACAAATAGATTGTGCACCCCTATTGTCCCATATGCTATTCAGTGTACCACGTATTTCATCTAGGTTTTGTTGCACATTTCATATTCCTATTTTCAATACAGTGCATCATTTTAATCCTTCCATATCTACTATATCTGGAAGTGTTAATAAGTTTCCTAGTGTAGATATAATTTTCCTAACGTTCAAACAATTCAAAAAAGAGATTCTCCGTTTCATTCAGAATTGATTCTGTTATATGTGTATTTATTCATAATGCTAATTGTATACACCTGTAAATAAGCTTTTGGGCCTGCTGGATGTATTGCATCAGTAAATAAAAGATATTCACTCCTTTTATGAAAGTTTCTGAAAGAATCGTATGAATCGCCCTCCAAACTAGACTAGATACGTGTTCGAAAATTCCACACGAAATATACGTTTGTGTGTTATTGTTGTCTGTTGTTGATTCGATTTCAGAAAAGTGAATGACCAGAAAAACTAGGGACGAAAGGTTCCTCGATATCCTATTATTTCCAAGAGCTTTCCATTCCTTTCACGACGACACGCTTTTGTTTAAAGGATGTGATTGAATTTGATAGTGTATGAAGAACGAAAGAAAAAATCTACTTCGCCGACTGACTTTAATCCTCTCCTTTCCACTAGCCGACGGTACATTAGCGAAAACAAAGCGAGAAAGAGCGAACATTTCTGACTAAGATTACCAGGCAAAAGTCCTGCCAGATATTACTCCCGTTCAGAGTCAAATGTCTATCATTTTCAAAGAGTGCACCATCAGATTCAGAAAGATTATCTCCATCCTGCTAGAAGATAGGGAAAGTCCAACCAATACCCAAGAA